GGGGCAGCATCGGAGAGGCCGGGGGCGTGAGATAAGTCCAGAGCGGGCGTCGGGCCCACGGAAAGGGCGGAGGGGTTGGGCCCCCGAGGGGCAGGAACGGACGGAAGTAAGGTAGTTGACGAGCCGAGGAGGGGCGCCCCAAGTAGGGCCGGGGAAGGCAAGGAAAGCCTGCCCGGCACCGGACAGGCAAGGGGCGAGTCCTGCAGTAAGGTAGGCAACCGTAAGAGAGGGCCAGAGAAAAGGATGCGCAGAGAGAGGGGGCGCGCACCGGGTAGGCAGAAGACACAGTCGGATGAGGAGGATTCGCATAGACGAGGCGTAACAACGGCGAAGGAGGTCGCCGCTTCTGTGGAGAAGCAGAGGCTGGGTGGAGGCGAAGGTGAATGGCAAAGTAGCGACGAGCGAAGTTACCTGTGGCACGAGCCGAACTAGAGGCAACGCGGCGGAGTCTTGGGAACGAGGTAGAGAATATGAATGGTAGGTAAGAGAGTCGGCATGAGGCTGGAGGCTTACGTTTTCTGCTGTCGATGACTGCATTAGGTTATTTTCGTACTCTCTACTCGATTGCCGTGCGAGCGGCCCACCCGCCCTCCCACTAACAGCCAAATGGCTGATCGGAATTGTCTTTGAAGGGTTTGGGTACCGCGGGAGTGTGGTCGCAGACGCAATGGCCTTCCCCACAATAAGTTAGTAGTGAGTACGGATCACGCGATGACGTTTAAGCAATGAAAGGAGCGCCAATTTTGAGGAATCTGTAAACGGACGCTCTACTCAGAGCACAGAAGCGAAGACATCATCAGGGTACTGCCTTTGAAATCCTCGCTCAACCGGCAGCTTGTTTGCACTGCGTGTAGCGTGTAGGTACGTTGCTTAAACGTCATCGCGTGATCCGTACTCACTACTAACTTATTGTGGGGAAGGCCATTGCGTCTGCGACCACACTCCCGCGGTACCCAAACCCTTCAAAGACAATTCCGATCAGCCATTTGGCTGTTAGTGGGAGGGCGGGTGGGCCGCTCGCACGGCAATCGAGTAGAGAGTACGAAAATAACCTAATGCAGTCATCGACAGCAGAAAACGTAAGCCTCCAGCCTCATGCCGACTCTCTTACCTACCATTCATATTCTCTACCTCGTTCCCAAGACTCCGCCGCGTTGCCTCTAGTTCGGCTCGTGCCACAGGTAACTTCGCTCGTCGCTACTTTGCCATTCACCTTCGCCTCCACCCAGCCTCTGCTTCTCCACAGAAGCGGCGACCTCCTTCGCCGTTGTTACGCCTCGTCTATGCGAATCCTCCTCATCCGACTGTGTCTTCTGCCTACCCGGTGCGCGCCCCCTCTCTCTGCGCATCCTTTTCTCTGGCCCTCTCTTACGGTTGCCTACCTTACTGCAGGACTCGCCCCTTGCCTGTCCGGTGCCGGGCAGGCTTTCCTTGCCTTCCCCGGCCCTACTTGGGGCGCCCCTCCTCGGCTCGTCAACTACCTTACTTCCGTCCGTTCCTGCCCCTCGGGGGCCCAACCCCTCCGCCCTTTCCGTGGGCCCGACGCCCGCTCTGGACTTATCTCACGCCC